AGACACTCTATAATTATTCTAACACTTTCTATTATTTAACAGTGTCTTGAAACAGAATATCAAGATGTTTGATAATATTATCAGATGTTCACAACACTGATTCACATGCTTTTATTTATGAATAAAACTTCTATTTTATGTGATTCTTTAATTCTTCATTGATATATTAATCTTTATTAATTAGTGAACTGATGACATCTTCATTTATACTCAGTTTCATAAGCATTTTCAATCTTTATAATGAGTAGAGAGTAAGATCAGACAGAAGCTTTGAAATATATAAAAGCATCTAAGCATTCTTTCAGTACTTTTATATTTGATTCTGTAGATGTTGAAATTACATGAGTTTCTTATTGAGTTAATTATTGAATTTTCTTATATTGAAGTTGTTAAGTTATATACATGTCATGTCAGTTATCTATTATTGTTATAGTTTCAACATTACTTGAAGTTACTGTAGTATTATATCTATACTCATATTTAACAGTTCTTTTATATTATCATTAGACATGTTGTTCATTAAATGTGTGATAACTGTGAAATCTGAAGAAGTGTAATTAGACTGACCACGTGACCGTGTCTGAGATCAGAACTAGATTTTTTAATAGTTTCATTATCAATTCAACTGATTTCATTACACAGTTTTAACATTAAATAGTAGTTTTATACTATCTTAGTGAAACTTACTGTCTACTCTTATCACATTTTTCAAATGAGACTATAATTTCTACTTCTTAATTTAAATTATTTTTATTGCTTTAAATGACTTTAAATCTCATTTAAGTGTTATCAAAAAGCATTACTTTTTAAAAAATTAAAAATAGTTTAAAAAAAACCTTAAAATGTCTAAAAATAGTAACTTTATGTCATGAATGAGACTAAATGAGATCAAATGAAATCACTTTCTTATTTTTTTCAAGTCATGATTTCATTTTAAGATCTGATATATAGTCACTTTGCATGTTTTTTTAATAACTAGTCTCAGTGAGATTCATGCTAAGAAATGTATGAGATCAGATCAAATGAAATCAAATATGAAATTCATAATCTCAGCAGTTAGTCTAAGTGTAATTGTATAAATATCTTATACATCTAGAGTATTAGAACTCTCAGATTTTTAACTAATATTCTCTTGTAAAATTTTATTGCAGGGTCAGAGTAACTGATGAGCAAGCTTCTATCTAAGAACTCAGTATCTATTTAACTGTTTCTTATACATTATTATATGTTCAGATATATTCTCAATAAGTGATTATTTCTATTAAGAAAATAATGAACATTTTTCAAGTGTAAGAGGTCTACACTGAATAGATCAGTATAATAAATAGATCTTATATAACAAAGTGAAAAATGTTAAAGAAGGAAAGAAAAGAGAAAGTGCAGAAATCAGTGATCAGAGTGAATATTTATACGTGTACATGATGAAGCTTTGAGATGAAAGAATAGAAATTCTGTAGGTTTTCAGCTGAGGATCGGCGACCGAGAATCGGAGCAGTAGGGGTTTTTCGGCCGGGGATCGGAGCGGTAGGAATCTGTGGAGTGTAACGGAATAGTCTATATGATTGATCGGGCGCAGCCCGCCACAAATGTATAAGATCGGATTAAATATGATTAAATATGAAATTTATAATTTTACTAATCAGTCTACTCTTAACACTGTTTAAATATTCAGAATATTAATTTTGAGATTTATATTCTTAATTGAGATTGAACTCATGCATGTTGACCACAGTGAGGCTCACGCTAAACGGGCTCATAACCTGTAGAATAGTTGAAGGTTGTATTGATAGAGCTATCTACAAAGAGCTTAATATAGTGATTGGTCATGTGATCTAGGGAGATCAATACAGCCAATAGCCGCAACGGCCGTTAACGGCCAACATTAACTTAGTTACTCCATGCTTAGTCATTCACTTGGCCAAGAAAATTTTGGTGATAAAATTAATTAGCAAACCAAGCCTGGCTTTTCTTTCCTTGCAATTCCTTGTTAAACTCGCACCAAATTAAGAATCTTTTATACTGTCAAAATGGCGGAACTTTCACAGGGAGATCGCGACATTATCAAGAACCATCCTCTAACTGACTCAGTCAATAGTTTACAAGGCATGCTTCAGGAGGCTGAAAAAATCTATGAGTCACATCTAATTTCCTACAATGGCGCTGTTGATAACCTTGACCAACTCTATCAAAATGTGATTTCAAAACTTGTCTATACTTTACAGGGAGAGGGTGCAGCCTACAACCTTCCCTCACGGATCAATGAAGGGGATGTGGCATCTGATCTAGCACAATTATTCGAGCGCCTCCGAAAGGCAAAAGGAAACTTCAGATACAATGACTACCAGCCACTGGTGCACCTGGTTATTCAAAGACCTCCCACTGAATCTCAGAATGTTGAAACCTGGAGCTTCGATGTCTGGAAAGCTGTATTTACCCTCATTGACACCATCCCTCGAACAACACCACCAGCGAGCGTCCCCCCTTCCTACGATGGCACACCAGTCAAATCCACATCATCATCACAGAAAGGCTCTGAGCAGACATGTGACTTAGTGAATCCAAGAATCTTTGAGGAGATACGTGGCTGCATCTTTCAAGATGTTGAGGGCTTCTTCAACAAGTACTTTGTGGGAAAAGACTGGAGCAGCAAAGCAGATGCCATCTGTCAACGTGTGCTGGCCTCAGACAGTGATGGGAATTGGGCCCAGTTTCCTGATCCTCCTACAGAGGACAATGTCCTTGCCTGGTGGTTTCATCTTCAAGAAGATCTTCTCTTAGAATCACATAGCGTCTACTACACCACAGCAAGCAAAGCAGATCTTACTGGTTCAAATGCAGAACGGCAAGTTGACCTTCTTTTAAGAGCTAGGGATGAAAGCTCTTTGCAAAACAAACACAACTGGAGAGACATTCTGGTAGTTGGTGAGCTCAAAAAATCCAAGGAGGAGATCAGGACTAAAGGCACCCTGCTTCAGATAAGCCGCTATGTGCGTGAGGTCTTTGCTGCCCAGCCGACCCGGCGGTTTGTCCACGCGTTCACTGTCTGTGGGACCAAGATGGAGGCATGGGTGTTTGACCGCTCAGGCCCCTATAGCTCAGGCATCATTGATGTCTACACAGACTCAAGATGGTTCTTTCAGATGCTTGTGGGCTACACCATGATGAGTGATGAGGAACTGGGACTGGACACCTTTATTGCTAGCAATGAAGGTGGCAGCAAATCAATAACTGTCAAAGGGCCTGGGACCTCGGAGGAAAAGGTGCTACAGCTGGGTGAAATGCTTTCCTTTCAGAGTGCCATCGTGTGCCGCGGGACAACATGTTTTCTCGCAAATGATGGACAAGTGGAGGGTGTAGCCAAATTCTCGTGGGTGTCAGACAAGCGGCGGCCGGAGGCGGAGCTCCTTGAGCTAGCAGGTCAAAAAAATGTCCAAGGGGTTGCCAGGATCATTGGCCATAGTGCCATCACTAGTATCGCCGACATACGCTGCGGCCTGACCTTCGACGACAAGCGACACGACTTCAAGAGCGCGGCCTCCTCATTTCATCAATCTCAGCCACTCACCGAGCTCCGTAGCTTAGGGCGAAAGTCGTCTTCCAGGAAACGCAGATCTCCGGATAAAGGGATGCAGGCATCCAAACGATCGCGCTCCATCAATCAACCGTCAGGGGACACCCAGCAGGACAATGAACTAGCTTTCTCCATTCAGTCAGTGCACAAGCCAAGCCTCTTCGACAGGAATGATGAGGAAGCCTATGACAACCGTGTCCTCCGCTGTCTTATGATATCGCCTGCTGGCCGGCTGATCTATGACTATAAATCACCCTTGGAGCTGCTCATGACACTTCGCGATGCTATAAAGGCGCACCGGTCTCTTTACCTGGATGGGAATATCCTTCATCGGGATATTTCAGAGAACAATATAATAATAACCAATCCAGGCAAGACAGACGGTCACTCGGGTATGCTAATTGATTTGGATCTTGCCAAAGAAGTTGGGAGCGGGCGAAGTGGTGCGCGGCACCAGACTGGCACAATGGAGTTCATGGCAATTGAGGTGCTGCTTAATATCGACCATACCTATCGACATGATCTTGAGTCATTTTTCTACGTGCTTATCTGGCAGTGCGCCCGTCACGGCTGGGAAAAATTCAAGCAATTGCAGAAGTTATATCAGCTATGTATCTGGCCAGAAGATAATATGCTACAGAAATGGTGCATGGAAAGTCATGAGAAAATTGCAAACCTCAAACAAGATAACATGGAAACTGGTGAATTTGAGCGCATCTTAATGAATAAATTTTCTCCACCAAAAGACAGTATGCTGAAGGAGTGGTACACTGGAACTTACAAAAAAATTGCAAGAAGCAAGCGAACCGATATGGGTGCAGATGGGCTTGAGGATATTTTGACTGAGTTTCCTCCAGCATTTGAGTTTGCCAAACCACTTTGCAGAGCTATACGAGACATTCTTTTTCCGTATGGGGACAGAGGAATTATCATTGGCACCCCGCAAGATCCGAAGCATTTATATAATCCTGTTATCAAGGCATATGATGATGCGATCGCCAAAATCAAATCTTGAGTGTGATGAATTGAGCACAAGAGCCAGAATTCCCCGGTAAAGGAGGCTCAACAGGCGGGACTTCTCGGTAGTAATGTGAGCTACCATTGGGTCAGGAGTTGCCGAAGGAAAGCACTTTGATTGGGGATTGCCGCCCAAGAGGCACCAAAAGGCCAGAATATAGAATCCTCGCTTGTATGCAGCATGTATGCTAGTGGGACTGGATATACTCATCCGCACACTTCGGTCTGGGATCGCTGCTCAAAGAGAACACCCGTGTTGAAGGAAACTCTTCAAGGAGCACCAGGAGGCAGGAACATAAGACCCTCGCTGGTATTCAATGTGTACACTAGTGAAACTGGATATCTATAAAAGGTTCCTTTCTTTCCCCAGCTTAGTATAGTTTCATAGTTAGTATTCAATAGAATGAGCACTTCTACAGATATTGCAATTGAATCTTGAGAGTAATTTTATCTAGTGTATTTATACAAAATATATTCAGTCAAGCGCTCCACCACGAACTCGCTCAATTTTTCGAATAAGAACCCGCCGATAGATCCATCGAAAAGCCCTCGATCATATGAGCATTTTGACCCCATCGCCGACTGCATACCCCATGTGGTGGTGGAGTTATCCAGCCAAATGTGAACCAGATGTTGTTCGAAACTCCTGTGTGGGATTATCCCCTGTTCACCCCTATCACACCACAACCCCGGGCCAAATTGCCATACAAATTGTAAGGCAAAGAGACCTAGTCATATGCATCAATCTTCTTGATTTTGGAAGATCTCTGACCTGTAATTGTGGAGATATCTGAGAAGCAACTTCCATGAAAACCCTGTCTATCTTTGATGTTCCAAAACATCAATGCCAAGTCCCACCCACGTACCACCCTTCCCAATCTGGCCCACATCCGGCAGAAAAATACAAAAAGATACCTTGGCAATAGTATCAAGCACATAATCAACAGACACATCTGAAGTGCATCCTGTGGAAGGTGTAAAGCTTGTCTGATTGAAAGGTTGCTAGCTTGTGGAAAGTTATATAGTGAAAGGATTAGTAAGCCAGATCACGTGACCTGACACCCCCACTCACCAGAGTAACTATACACGATGCTATATACAAAATTCGCCTTCAAATCAAGTACAGGTACAAAAAATGACTGGAAAATGTGTAGCAATGAAAAACCAGTCATGATATACATCATTTTTTATCCCTCTATCCCCCTATCTTCTTTATATTCTCTTTCCAATGTGTATATTTCAAATGATTGACCTCTTTAACACAGGCCTTGTAATAATACTTCCATTCCATGGAAGCTTTGGCGTGTGTGAGGTTTTTCGGGATCGGAAGTGCAGCGATCTCGGGATCAGTGGGTAGGTCTTCAAGACTGTCCCCCACTGAAGCTTCCCCCACTGTAGTGATATTCCTTGTAGATGTCGGAGGATCATCAGATTCAACTGTGGGTTCCAGGGAGTTCAGTGTATTCTGCACTAAAAGAGTAGGTATTCTCGCGGAGATATCATAGTCAATCCACCAATTATTAGTGGGTACAAGAAATAATGGACACTCAGGTTGAATTTCCTCATCAATGAATAGATTATCAATTGATGGATCAGGAATCGCTGCAGTCTCTTTACAGGCTGCAGTCGGTAGGCCTGGTGTCGCTGAAGGAATCGCCGCAGCCGCTTTGCAGGCTGCATTGGGTAGGACCTTCAGGTTGTGCGTTGTAGCTGTTGTAGCTGTTGAGGTGGTGGCAGGATGATTGTTGACATCCTGTGGTCGATCCGTAGAGGATCTCTGTTGATGGAGTTTTTCCAGTTGTAGTCCGAGTTCTAGGACTCTACGCCTCTCCTTCTCTATCTCAAATGTCATCTTGAGATGCTCCATCTGTTGGTTTGATATTGCCCCGCCCGAACGGTAGACACCTGGGTGTCCATTATTCTCATCAAGAGAACCAGCTTCATCAAGCTGTCGAGTAGATCGGGGGGCCGGCCTGACCATGCCAGGAGCTGTATTCAAACCAGCTTCGAATCGAGAGGGTGTTTCGGGGCGTTCATCAATGGAAAGGACGCGAGATCGCGAACGTGTGTGTGGGCGAGATCGTATTGAATCCGCCATCTTGATATTCGTTTATTGGATCCTTGCCAATATCGTTCTCTTTTCTTACTTTTTTGCAAATGTGGTGCGTTTTCTGCAAGCCTCTTTTTTAAGCGAGCAGTAGTATTATTGATCATCAAGATCTCAAACGCATCAATACTGATAGAATAAGACGATTTTAACTCCTGATGGGCGTATTGAATGAAGCAGTAGTTCAATAATGATTATATTGACAAGGAATCCCGAATTGGCAGCGATTTTGCGCAAAACGGGTCTCATAACCTGTGGAAGGTGTAAAGCTTGTCTGATTGAAAGGTTGCTAGCTTGTGGAAAGTTATATAGTGGAAGGATTAGTAAGCCAGATCACGTGACCTGACACATCCTCCATGAAAAACCCTCTCTGTCTTTACACCAAGTCTCACCCTTGTACCGCCCCTTCCAATCTGGCCCATCCCCAGCAGAAAAGTACAAAAAGATACCTCAGCAACTGTATTCAATACATAATCAGCAGACATAACAACTATAAAATCAGTATATCTCAAGATCTGACTGAGCCTTTGATCTCTACACAGTGAGATATATTAAATCTAGTTTTAATATCTCAATATTCAATAGATTCTGTAAGAGATTGAGAACAACAATACTAGATTTCTATTGAATTTAAAAATTAACTCTATATTGATATAATCATTGACAAAGTCTTCTATTTTAAGATATAAATAATCAGTGCCTCTATATTCTGCTGACAATATTTATATTATTATATAGAAATAGACTTATATTCTCTATAATATTAAGACTCTGAAGAGAAAAAGTCTTGATAGAGAGTATATAGTAGTATATATCTTAGCAGTTTCTATCTCATTCTTCTACAGCAGATAATACAAAAAAAAAAGATCTTAGAAATAGTTTTTTACTTCTCTTGAAAAAGTAAGATGTTTTTCTCTGAGTTTTATACAATATTCTTATAAAGAATTAAAAACAGAGCTGTTTTCTATCATCATTTCATATTCTTTTAAGTAAGAATTACTTTTTCAGTGACTGAATAGCTTTCATTAATACTTAATTCTTTTTTACACTCTCTATTAACTGATGTGAGTTGCACACTTGTTAAGTTGTTATGTGAGAAGAATTAGATGATTTAGAATAAAATTGAATAGTTTTAATCAATTTCTCTGCAAAAAATTGATTTATTTTTTATCAGTTTTTCTCAAAAAAACTGTCATATTATCTGATTTATTATCAATTGAAATTATACTTTTTCTCACTGTATCTTAAGAAAGAGATTATAAAGATTTTATTAATTTATCTCAAAAATCAATTTTAGTTTATTAAATTCTCTTCAAAAATCTAATCTAGTTACTGAACTAGTGTGAAAAAAATCAAGTATTTTATATAAAAAAGTCTTTTATTCTTCTTTTAAAACAGTCTGATCAACTTTTCAATTGAAAACAGACTTAGAAACCTCTTAATTGAAACAGTCTGATCAACTTTTTAAAAGAGTTTAATACATATGTCAATTAAAACAGTCTGATCAACTTTTCATTGAGTGAGAACAATGAGTTCAAAAATACACTCAGTTCATGTGAAAAAAGATACTTTCTCAAATGCTATTTCTAAGATTGAAATTCTGAAGAGAAGAAAGAAAGAAGAAATAGAGAAATAACAAGTTCTTGAAATACAGAAACTTGAAAAAGTAAGCAAGATTCTTAAAAAGCAGTATCTGAGTGAGATGAATAATGAAGTTCTATTAATTCTTCATACTTAGACTAGATAACTACAGAAGATGATCAAGTTCAAACTTGAAATTTCAAACACAATTCAAAAAACATTGAAAATTTCTAGTATAATCACTGACTTCTCATCTTACTCTTCTTTCTCTTTTTCTACTTCTTCTTCTTCTTTAAATCAGAAGAATATATATGCTCAAGTAGCTGAATCTACTGTCTCTAAATCTGCTATCTTAAAATCTGCTCAAAATCCTGAGAAAACTGAGAAGAATAATACTCATACTTCTATTCATAGAAAAGTGAAGAAAAAAATGTAAAAGAAGAAAAACTTTCAAATCTTCAGAAATAGAACACTTATTCTCAAAGTCTCAAATCAGAATATCTTGTAAAGAAACAAGCTAAACTTAAATCTCATTTTTAGAATCAGAAATGAAATTAATCAGCAGTTCTTTTCTCAGATAATAACTGATATTGAAGTTCAAAAATCAGTTATAGCTTCAATTGAGTCATTCTTCTTTGAAAACTTCATCATTCTGACTACAATGTCTGAATCCAGTGTGGAATTCCTTATTCAGAATGAGAATCTCTGAAAATCAGAAGTAGAATCTTTATTAAATACAATAATTCTATCTGAGAGAGATGAAAAGTGAAACAAATTCATTCTTTAAAATATTTCAGTTGAAATTTTTGACTGTGAAGAAGAAATACTACTTCTCACAAATGAATTAGAAGAATATAACTCTATTCAACTGAGAAAAGAGTCTGTATGACTAAATTCAATTGAGTTCAGATAAAGCAGAAGAAATGTCTCTGTTCTAGTATATACAAAGATACTTGAACAGTCAAAGATCTCTGAAGTAAGAGTAATGAATTTGAAAATGAGAGTTTATTAATATAAAGACTCAAGAATGAATCTCAAAGCTCAAACACAGTATTCAAACTGTCAAAGATATGAATACTTTACAATCTTCTGTTTTAAGAACTCAAAATGTGTATTCTGTGTCAGAGATTATAAAACTAGTGAGTATAAATATGAAACATGCTTAAAAAGAGATAAAATATGTCAATACACTATACTTAAATACTCTAATTGTAAAGAAAAACATGTATCTAGCTCAAAAGAATGTATGTTTACTTCAAGAACTTAAAAGAACTGAAGAAAAGATAAAGCTCAAAGCAAATCTAGAACTGAAGAGAATAGTCAAGTCAGTAAACTCATAACTAGACTGACCGCTGGGACGATGAATTTCACATTCGATCTCATTTGATCTGGTCTCATACATTTCTTGACATGAGTCTCACCAGAACCAAGCCTCAAAAGAATCTGAAAATGAATCATTTCTGAGAGAAATGGTGTAAAAAATGACCAGATTTAATTCAAGAACAGTGAAATGAGAGTAATTTCTGAGAATAAACTGTGAAAGATGATCATTCTTTCAAAATCAGAATGAGACTGAGACTGAAGATCAAATTCAGTCTCATTCAGTTCATTTAGTGATTACTTATATAATCAGAATTTAATAACAATTATTGATAACACTCATGAAATAACTAAATACATTCTTGTACAAGTTTATTCTTTACTTTCTCATGAAAACTACACTTCTCTGATATACTGTGATCAGAGATATTAAACTGTCTGATAATTCTATATTTTATAATCATGAGTTTCTTGATTGTTTCTTCTTATAATTATTCTCAGTGATAGTGATAAATATCTCAGCTTGAGTTGAACTTTCACTTTATTCTCATCTCTGTCAATGAAATTATCAGAATATCACATATTATCAGTGTAATAGTTAAATATATACTCTTAACAATTTTTCATAACTCTAGAATTGATTTAATGTGTAAATTTATTGAATTATTTTGAAGATAGTAATCAAATTCAGTTTTATAAGTATATAGTTTTACCTGATTTTCAGTTGCAATCAATGTATATAAGTTCTGTTTCAAAGTTAGTATTATAGTTCTATGTGATGAAGTGTTATCAAAGATCATTACTTACTAGAGAATTATATTTCACTGTCTTCATATCTTTAACATCTGCTTATTCAAATCTCTGATAGTTGATATTGTAGTAGTCTCAGACTAATTTGATATATAAGTCTCATTTCTCCTCTATTCAATCTTGAGAAGTGTAGATATTAACTTAATAAGAGAGATCTAGTAGAGCTACTACAGCATAGTACTCTGCAAAAGATTGTTCAGTTTTACTGTAGTAATATGTCAGTTTATTTCTTACAGTAATAATAGCCTGTGCTATAGCATTATCTCAGACTGAATTTCTTTTTAAGTGATTTAACTGCTTCTCAAGATAAGTAAATAAACTGTTATATATTTATCAGACTGACTGCAGCATTGATGTATAAGTAATTGAGACTGTCTTTATTATCTTATAAAACTGAAACAGTAAATCAATCATATATTTCAACTGAGTTCACTTCATATCAGAAAGTTTCAATATCTGAATCTTTTCTCAATCAGAGTATTACACTCAATGATTAATTATCTGATATAATTGAAGAGTCTGAACAGTTATTTTATATATTAAACTTTATTATATTCTAATATTCTGTATCATATTCAGTGATGTGACTGATTTATTTATTTATTAAATATCATGACATTATTATTATTATTTGAAAGAGATATAAATTATATTAGCAATGTTTCAAATCTGTGATATTTAAATTATTAATCAATCTATTCAAAATTAACAGTAGTGTTATCAAAAAGCATTATTAAAAAGTAATATTAAAAAGTGTTATTAAAAAATATTATCTTTTGTAAAGTGAATGCAAAAGTTACTTAAGTAATTACTTTCATCTTATTCTAATCTCAAGAATCAGTTATCTCATTATTCTTTATCTCAATATTAAGATTCTTTATCAGTATTTATATCATAAGTTGAATCACATAAGCAATGCAGAGAATATGACCTTGTTTATCATTTCAGAAATACAAAGTCAATTTTTGCTTCAAGCTGTTCATTATAGTATAGTTATTCACAGCATTGTCAGTTGTAATTGTAAGAAGACTGAGACTAATACCTTAATAGTCATTTTTAATCATAGTTATTAATATCTCTGTTATATAATTCTCAGTATGACTACTGATCAATGATTCAAATTCAATTAATGTCTCTTAATAAGTTCAGTTCTCATCAATGTAATAACATGTAACTCTCATAAATACAAGATTATTTATACTAGTTCATGTATTCACTGTGACAGACACTCTTTGATGATTCTTCAACTCTGATTCTAGATATTGTATATTAACTTTGTAGTGTGTCTTGAGATTGAACTGAAGACAGAATCAATGTGAAATATGAAGTGTGACGGGCTGCGCCCGATCAATTATATAGACTATTCCGTTACACTTCACAGATTTCAACCACTTCATTCTTGAATGTGTACACTTCGATTCTCAGCCATTCTT